ACCAGCCCCAGCAACACCAACTCTGTTCATGCCCCAAAAGGGCCCCAAAAGGGGGGCACAGAGGTCACTTCAGAGAAAAACAAAGTCAAACATGAATTTAGTTCCTTTTAAGTAAACTGTCAAGGAACAACCTTAATCCAAAGTCTCTTCCTGTATGTCTAAAACTCTTTCTTTTCCACTATATCCCAGTCAAAGAAAGACTTTCAACCAAGAGCTATGCAAAAGTCTCTGGTAATAAAACCAGTTAAGGCCAGATGGTGCTAAAAAGCCCAATTACTCTCAGGCTCCCAAGGAAAGCAGCAAGAGAAAATTAACTGGTGATTCAGTTAGGGAGACACTTGAGTGTAACAACTCTGACTCAATCCCCAAACATACCACTGGGAAAAACTGAAACCAAGGCAGTGATATGTGACTGGTTAATCTCCAGCAATTGCTTGCGGGGGATGGTACAGCTCTGCCCGGGACATTGCTCAAAGGCCACGCGGACCCAGCTAGAAAATACAAACTTTTTACCAGTCCCATACTGCAGAAAAACAAAAGCAGAACAATCTCACCCAACCTCTCCTCCACCTCCAACATTTGTCCATGCTTTGCCCGATTCATATATTGGAACCACCAGAAAGACAGTGGGAGGGCCATAGGGTTTCTTGGAATAGGAAGCCCTCAAAACCTTTGAGGAGCAAGTTGTGGAAGTTGCCTTTTACTAACAGTTTTTCCTCCTCACTTCCATATCTTCTGTTGACTTGCAGTTTGCCTTCATGAGAGCAGCTGGTCAGAGCCTCTCAGCAGCAAGAATATGTTGTCTTCACTCAATGATTCTCTAGTCCTAACAACTGCAGGTATTATTTTTCTTACATCTACTCTTTAATACCATGATGCCATAAAATACCACTGAATCAGAGGTCAATAGGATTCCAGAAAGGAATAGATCTGTAAAGAGATAATTAGAATTCCACGTTTACATTAGGCAGAGTGGAAGAGCAAGAACAGGGAAGAGAAAAAGACACCAGATGGGCAGATTACTTCATAGTTTTCCTTAATACTATTTCTTCAGCCTTCCCCTGAAGCACCTGGAGATCATCACCGTAAACCGTCAGAGACTGGGTACTGGATGAGATGGACAGTCAGGCTCACCCAACACAGCAATCTTTCGTTTTCCTGCTACATGTAGGAGGTGGTCTCCTTTAAGTCATACATCACAAAATAAGAATAGAGGTGGATAAAATCGAACAAAGTGGAAAACGTTATCCGCCCCCTAGGATCCATTTAATCTGCATGTAAGTGTGTTCCAATTTCAATAAAAGTAATAACATGCCTTCTTTTCCTCTCCCCTCGATACTGTCCTGGTCTCTGGTCTTCTGCTTCCTTCATAGGCAAGCAGAAGATGCTGTGTGAGCTGATTAACAATAAACTCACAGCTGATCAGCCTTATCCTTCACCTTCAGTTTTTGCAGGAAAGCACATAAGAAGACAGTATCTCCAGCCTGTTCTTCAGGGATACATGCAGAAGTTCTGCAGTCCATGGGCAGCATTTTGGGTACTTCTAGTCTAAAAGTATTAATTGTTTCTCATCTCAAAAGCCAGAAACCTAATCAAGCTAGACAGAAGCACGTGCTGCTCACCCCTATCCCACTGTTCAGCAGCATGGCTTGAATCAAGACCCCTTGCACCAAACTACGAGTCCTCAACTATTTTAGCCAAATGAGTACCTCTGCTGGTGAGCACAAGCGGTGATCCTGTTATCTGAGACACGTTGAAAGCACGTTACATCATCACACCTAACATGAACTTTTCTTCTCAGAGGAGGCCAGGATCAGCATCACTAAGCTCAAAATTGAGGTCGTAGAGGCACATCTACCTGGAACAAGCCCTTATTGGGTCAGTACTACGCACATTTCATACACCCGTACGATCAGCAGGTCTCCTTCAGGACTCAGTCTAGTGTAAAGCCCCATATCACTCAAGCACAAACACAAGGGAAGGCTCTCTACCTCCCAGCCTCAGCTTTTAAGAGAAGAAAAAATAAAATCTCTCAAATAAAGTGTGTTTTATAACCAAAATTAAGATGACAACTTAAACCAGCCAAAAGACCACAGTTCCTAAAATCAAGACAAGCAAGGTACTTTGCCCCAGGAAAGACCCTACCTTCTCTTAAGAGCCACCCTGTGTCCAATACCTCTTGGAAGGTTTTCTTCAGAGAAACTTGCCTCTGTCCTTCCTGTCCTCTCTGGACAGAGCCTCAGAAGCCCATCAGCTGGGACTGCTGATGCCTTCCCATTGCCAACAGCTGCCTACAACATCACTCTGAGCTGAGACACCTGCTCCTCTGAAGCCTTACAGATGCCAACTACAAGGAGCAGAGAGTCCAAATACAGAAGAATTACAAGATGTGCCAAACTCACCCTAAATTTTCCCCTAAGCTTCTGCTACTCTCCTTTACCTTGACCACTGTCACAAACAGGAGACAGGAAACTGGACTAAGAGATCTGACCCAGCATAAATCAGCACTCAGGGGAGCAGCACTCATTCACGTTTATCTTATTATTTAAAGAGAGAAAGTTAAAGGAAAGAAAAGAAAAGCAGCACCTCAAAAGCATCCAAGTAGCAGGGACAGTACCTGCCTAAGAAGGCTTTGAGTCTGTCAGCATTCCAGGTGTTGAACAGCCTTTCCTTGAACTAAATAAGCTTTACTGCTATATTTAAAATTAATACGTGCTTTGCAATGCTTATCAACTAGAGGGTTTCAACAGTTTTCCCACTAATGCTGCAATTTCAAAACCATTTAGGCTAATTTCCTTTGACTTGAATCTATTTTAATCAGAGACCAGGATACTCGACTTAAATGGTTTGTATTAAACCCTTCATAAAATCAGCCATAAAATTGCTTGCACGAAATAGACAATGAATCTTGAAGTCAGGAGTAGAAAAAGCTGAAACTTTTCAAATTCTCCAGCAAAATCAAGCTTATATCATAACCAGACAAACTGCCTTCTTACAATACCGAGACAATTGATCCCTAAAACAAGCAACAGCCAAAACACACTACGGAAGTTCTTATACAGATAGAAGATGCTAAGTTACGTAACTGCAGTACCCAAAACTCTCTCCTCCAAAGTATTAGCCACCCTCCAAAATTATGTATATTTAATAAATTGCTGTCTTCTCTGTCCTCTCCGCCATCCTCCTATGAAATGATTGATATTTGCTCTAAAGAAGAATATAATGCAAAACTAAAAATGTCAGAATTAATCCTTAGCACCCCCTCCAAGATCTGGAAAAAACTTAATTCTCATTTTAGTTCTCATACAGTGATGCTGGCTCTACTAGAAGTCAGAGTTCTGGATAAAAAATTAAAGTGAGAAGCTCAGATTCAGGTTAACTGCTAGAGAAGGTCTCACTTCAAGGATTTTTCATTGTAGGCCGATCTGCATATCATACAGCCAAAGGTACAATTTGTACCTGCAATTCATTTTGTCCAGACAAACCATACCAGCGGAATTGGAGGCTGGGCCTTCAGTTCCTTTGAAAACTCATCCAAATATTGCTGTTGTCAGTGGTTGACAGACTTGGAAACTATGAGTGGCTGTTTGAAATTCATGCAGCATGCAGAGAAGTGAAGGAAAAAAAAGCTCTCCATGAACTACTCACTTCCTTAACGATTTGCCAGTATGCTGGAGCCATGTAGCTGCATTCCCCTTGCTGCATGACTTTCAATGGTCTGCAGATCCCAGACAATAGCTTTGTCACTGGCCTAATGACACAGGCATTGGACATGTATCTCTCAGAATCTAAATCTTTCTCAGCTCATTTTTTATCAGAGCTTTCACTCCAGTACTGGACAAATTGACGCTTTCTATTTCAAGGAACACTCTGCTAGCCCTATCTAAAATTAAGTTTCATAAAGATAAACTTACAGTACATCATTTCCCACACTCTTAATAAAATGATCTGGCATCTCATCTGTCTATTTTTCTCCAGTGCTTAGCCAGTAAACGTAATCATCATCACAATCTTAAAGGGTCATCCCAGAAAAAATAGGAGAGAAAGGATATTGCCATCGGATCCATCAGGATCCCTTCAAAGGCACCTGCATTGAGGTGTCACTCCTCAGGAGCGAATTCTCACACAGAATTGTGTGCATTGCCAGGACACTGCAATGTAGACCAGAGACAGTATCGCTTGATCACCCTGACCACAAGAGATGCTCTTTCTGATGGATGTTTTAAGCGTTTTCTCATGCCTTCTTCTGTCACTGATGTGAAGACCTCTCAGGAGCGGGACTACAGAGGAGGTTGGTCGCCCTGCAGGACGTAGCCAACACCAGGGCAGAAGGCACCATACACACCAGGAATACGGCTCCTGGGCACCCCCGATCCGATGTTCATTTACGCAGCAAGGTCACGTATCCAACTTACAAAATAGGCATGTGTTAACCCAGTCTCTGTTTTCTCTCTCATCTTTAGCTGAATAGTTAAAGTGGTCCTGCCCCTCACAGGTATCAACACCTCTGGGATCATTAAAGACCGACACGAGATCACAAACGAGAGTCCCACGAGAAGTACTCTGCTAGGAGGAGTGTGAGGGGCAGCAGTAGAGACTTGAGATCCCTGGAAATCTTGCAGGGACACGAAGGAGCTGACAAGAAAGGAGAGAGACTCTTACTACAGAGTAACAAACATCAAAGCCAATAGCTCAGTGAACACCACTTTGCTGACTAGGGCGGATGTGAGCTTCTGATCACATTACCACCACCAAAAATAATATATTGCCTTAGAAGAAAAAAAAAAAAGATAGAGGAATGGGAAGAAACCAGTTTTTTTCCCAATAAATTCTTTTTGAATCTCAGGCTCAGTTGAACTACATCAGTTGTTCATTACTGAACATTGCCCTGCGGATGACAAGCAGGGAAGAGCAAATAGTATCAAACCAGAATACGAAAGCAGTCATCTAGCTGGGGCACTAGAACGTGTGCACTTCCTCACAGAGCAAGTGGTACTTACTTGGTTGGACGATAATCTGGGATGGAACGATCCAGTGAAATTTTCTCACTGAGGTAGGAGTTGTAGCCATATTTCTCGTGAGGTCCCTTAGCTCTTTCTTCCTCCTCAGGGGATAGGGTGGCTGGAAGACCACCTTTGCCACGTCCACCATAGCCTTCAATGAGACCAAGTGACTTAGACAAACCTCGAGAGAAAGAAAGCCACCATCACTGTTAAGTTCACCACCTTTATTTCAAAGTTATCAAAGAAACAGAACTCATCTCACCAACCAATATGTTTTAGTTCAGTTTTCTGAAAATGTTTCATTTTGTTTCAAATTCTAGTTTCAAATTTTGAAATTCTTCACAGCTCAGGCATTATATCCCCAAAGAACTCTGCCACCAGCATCCATTGGTAACCTGTCCCTGGGATCTGTGCATTTATTTAGTTGTTAGGAAGGTTATTTAGGCCTCCTTCCCATTCTCAGAGAGGTAATTACATATAAGGTTAGATGTCCCCAGGAGAAGGATAGGTTGAACACAGAATAACAATAAAATAGGGTTGCTTAACTGCCAAGAGAATGAATTTTTGCTCGGTATAAACAGTGAACAGCATACAAATGTTACGGATTTAAAAACAATTTCCTTTCAAAGCTTTCTTATCTTTTAAAGTATACCATTCCTAGACCTTTATCAAATGGAATTATTTATTTATATCTGCATAGAGAGAGGAAATAAGCAAAGTTCAAAATGAGCTGCATAAAAGGAGCTATGCCGATGATTTGGTGATGACTGTGGGAAACCAAGTTCATGCTCATGTTTTTATTTATTACATAGAATGCCTGGGGGTGATGACTGTGGGAAACCAAGTTCATTTATTACATAGAATGCCTGGAATTCTAATATTTTTCATTGTCTTTTTGTCAGAAAACAAGAAATGTGATGATTCTGTTGATTTTTTTAATCAAGACACCAAGATATACTCCTCTTTGTTTTAATGGTAGATAGTCCTCATTCTGAGTGCAGAACTGACTCTCATCAGCATAATGTTTATGAAGGGACAACAACCTTGAGGTCAGGCACATGGCTTAGCGATCCAAGAGTTCAGTCCTACTCCCAAATTTGCCTTTGATTTCTGTTCCTCTGGACAAAAAAGTAGTTTCCCCACCTCCAAGACTTAGATTATAATACTTTTTTTCTTAAAAAGTAGTGTTGTGAGGCAGTAAGAAAATCATCTATGAATGTAAATCAGTTTGAAGCACTTGAATAGAAATAACTGTCATCATTTCTTGTGACAAGGAATCTGTAAACTGTTAGAAAGCTGCTGAGAATTGATGGGAGTCCCTCAGACTGCACTGGGATTGATTAGATTTAATCTGAGGGCAATAATAACAAACGCACCATAAGGAGAAACTATACTGTGACAACGGGATGGATCAGATATCCAGACTGCCCTTTTCCATCTCCAGGTTCAGCAATGGCTAGAGGACAACATCAAGAAAAGTGAGAAAGGTGAAATTTTCTGACCCGCAGAAGGCCAGTGGATGGCTCTGCTAACTTCCTAATCCCAAATGGCTCAGAGGATAAGGTTCAACTTGCTTATAAAGAGAAGAGATACCAATTTCATTTTGTGGCAGCTTCCAGGGTTTCAGATACAGCTTCCAACTAATACAGTATTTTCTAAATATTCTTGCAGAAAGATCACTCTTCAGAAACAGCTGTTTCTGGATCAAAACCACATCTTTTCTCTTCGGGAACAGTGCACCTACAAGATATGCAAAACTCCTCAGCGTAGCCCTAGATCATGTCCTAGTTCTTGTTACAACAAAAAGACAAAACCGCTTCAGTTGATCTGCTGTGTTTTTTTACCATTATAACAAATAAGTTACAAGAGAAACTCATTTTATAATTTTAATTCATTCTTCTTCACCCTCCCCATGAAAAGTTTCTACCAAAAATTATCTGTAGTATCTATTCCCCAAAAGCTTTTGCTATTGGTGCTGTGAAACTATGCAGCTATAAGAAGGGCTGAATAGAAGTGGGAACTTCCAAAGCTGGGTTAGCGCTGGCAGAGGCTCCGTGGATGATCTTAGAGCTCCCTGGCTCTTGGTGCTTGAGTACCTACCCAGTGGGATGTCCAAACTGTTACCATCACAGCCTCTCCCACTCTGCGTAAAATAGGTCTACAAAGCACAGGGTCAGGTTATTTTTTACCAATTATAAGTGTTTAACTAAGACACCCAAGTTAGTACTTCTCCCACAGCTCCTCACTTGAAGTCAATAGGGAAAGACTCATCCCTCCAAGGCTAATTCATCTACTACAAGACCTGAATCAATTTCCAGAGGTGCTTATCTCTATCTTGACTACAGTAATTGGGCTCCCAACTACAGTATTTCAGGAAGTATCTGAAATTAGATGGGATGAATCTGGCTCACAGCATTTAAAATACCAATGCAAGCGCAGGAACTAGCTATACCAACACATCCAGCATTGCTAACCTTGGTGGATCTGAACTGGTGTTAGCAATAGGACAGGACGCCTGGAGCAGGGACATCTCTGCTAAGGAATCCAACTGGCTGTGTGCAAGTCGCAGGGCAGGCGTGCTCTACAGCAAAGCCTCCAGTCCTCCTCCAGCACCGACCCAGACTGGGGAGGTCTCCGCTGCAGAGCCCAACACCACCCTCCTTCCTTGCCCATCTGTGCTTTCTTCCAGAAAAAAGGCACACAGGGGATGGCGCATGGTCAGTCTCTCACCCCATGCTGCTGAGACACCGCCAGAGCAAACGCACAGACCCAGCTCGGGGAAAATGGCCAGCTATCCCCATGGAGAAGGCTCCATTTTAACTTCTAGGCCCTTGCAAAATGAAGCCTTACTAGTGATTACAGAGGTGCCAGTGAAACGCTAAGACATCATTTTATATTCAGCAGCTTTGACTGACAAGCTTATAATGCCATAAACCGCTTTATTCCAGGACCATAATCATGGCAGCACACATGCACCAACATACGTTTATCTCTACTCACTAAATACATTTGCTGAAGTTTATCTCTGCATATGAACTTCTCACTGTTACGTTCTCCTGTGTTAATCCTTCTACTACTATAAACCCTGCCTCAGTAAGTACAAATAAATCCATGTCAACTCCTTTAACCAAAGGATTCAATAAAGAAAGGTGATAGATTCATAGACACTGGGCAGGGTGCTTGGAGTATCACCATCATCCTCTCTTTCAATGCCACCTTACTCAGTAAGGTTAAAAACACCCACGGAGTAGTCACAAAAATGAAAATTCCAGGTGGGAGGTGACAAGCAGGATCTCTGTATTTATCTCCATGCTGGTTAAACTTTTCATCCCCCAGTTTAGGCTGTCAGAACGGTTCATCAGTGCAGCCAGAGTGTCACTTTGGTTTACAGTACTTGGAAGCAAGATTCAAGTAAAGCTTGGCAAGAAAGATAATTCACGTCCACCAAATGGAGGAGGAGAAAGTTTGCTTCCAACTTGCTGAAAAGAAGCCTCAGGGAAGAGAGAGGATCAAAAAGAAACAGTTTCATGCAGACTCTCATCCAGCCAATCTATTAATTCGTTCAGCTTTGTCCTTCAGTTTCACGGCTACACTAAGGAGGACACATTTTGGTAGGCTAGAAATGCCTCTGGCATAACTTCCAAAACAAGCCTCATCTCAGCTCGCGTGGTTACTTCACGCCTGGCAGCAGAGGCAGCCCAGGGAAGGCTCTTTCTCCTTGGGTGGCTCCCAAGACTTTGCATTAACCCACATCCACGTGCATGGGAACACAAGACACGTTTTCAAAAGCCTACGAAGAGCAAGGCTGGATGATAATCTGGTATGGAGCCATCCAGTGAAATGCATACAAATTACTAACGCTTGCAGGGTCATCACTGTATTCCCTTGCTCTACACCAGCACAGCTGCAACAGCTACGCTAGTCCCAGCTGCGATGGAACAGGACACCACACTGATGACCTTAAGGACACAGGCAAGCGGGACCGAACAAACGGTTCGGACGCTTAAAGCTACACACTTAAGGTTTCCATAGGTAGCACACTCATTTTTTCTCATTTTCTGCTTGCCCTTCACAGCCTACATGGAAATGCCATTTAGGTCTCAAAGGACAAGCAATCTCTCGCGTTGCGTTCACACTGCGTAACACCGCAAATGAATGATTAAGTGCCTCTGGTGACGCAGAAGCCGAAAGGGAAAATCGCTTCTGACGCAAGTCGCTCCCTGGGCGCAACCATCAAGAAGAGATGCTTTCCAGCGCAGCCTTTCAGTGTGGATTCACTGGTCTCTCGTAAAGGACGAGCTTTTCCTGCTTTGCCTTGCTGCTACAGACCCACTCCTCTACCTGACACCTTACTAGCATGCACCTGTAGGATCTTCGCACTTTAAAAACCTCCAGCCCTTTGTCATACCTGCTTGAAATAGGCCTGGAGGGACAAAAATTGCAGACGCCGACACAATGAGCAAGAGCACATTTGCATCTGCTTATTTTCTTTAAGAACCAGGGTAGAAAGCAAAACCAGCCTAAACTATTCCCAAGTTACAGACCAAATCTGTAATCATTCTGGGCAGGCACCAAAGCAGAAGTACTTAACCGCTGCCAAAAAGTCTCTCCTTACGCTGGTTCCAGCCTATCTATAGTGATAAACAGCACTAATCCCACATAAAAAAAAACCCTGATCTTCGGCGACTCCCTAGTGAATTTTGCAAACTCATGATATGGTAATGGGCTGCATCAAGATTAGATGCCCAGTGTAGATCAGAGCTCTGAACGGTTTTGAGCTTCACTCATCTTTAAGCCACTATTCACCCGACAAGTACCTTAGGAATGAAAACAAGATTTTTCTCAAGATTTCCTCAAAAATCTGAACTTTTGGACAAAAGGACCATATTGCTCTCATACCGCAGGAACAAAAATAAAAGAGATGCTACTTAAAGCTGCTAATATCTGAACCACTCCTGCTGA